CATGTGCTTGTCAGACAGACATACAGACGGGAAAGAGAGGGAGAAAGTCCCTCCCCAAGGGGGCTCTGTTATGATACGATCCCATCTCCTCCATTCTCTATCCTGTCAGGAGTTTGGGCATGCACACACATGTACACAGCCTGTTTTTCAAGCTGCTAGGGCTGGGACTTGAACAGTTGTAGGCCATGTGAGAGTCAGCTCCCTTAACCACTAGGCCATAATGCAGCCCAGGAGGTATGGGTCTTTAAAATGCAGATTACTGGGCTTACAGCTACTAATTCAGACTTTCTGGGGCTTGACATCTTCATTTTGAGCTTTTTGGACAGTTCTGAAGCACACGGTTCTTACTTTAGGGTAAGACTAGCTGCTTGTAGGAATCTGTGGGTTCTCCTTCCCTCTCTCTATGTCTTCAGAGTTTGCAGACTCAGAGGCCTGGGGGGTGTAGCTTTCCCCAAAATGCCTCAGCTAGGCAGGGGATTTGTAATGACTCTACCATATTCTTGGAATTCAAGGTTGGTCTGGGCTCAGGGCAATGTCTTCAGTAAAATGCCAGGGACTTTTCCTGTTCCAACTTGTGGAGAGCCTGAGGGTCTCTGAAGCTCTCTGGAGATTTCCAAGATGCTTAGCGGATTCATGCACGTCATTCTGGATCCATGTCTAAACTCTTCAACCACTAAAGGTTCATCACACTGATTCCTGTCTGAAGAAACCTGGACAGGGTGGACAAAGCCCTTGTAGGCTTATGGGCTCGACGGTTTGGAGTTTGGGTTTCTTCTTGGTGTGTGCACAACCTCACTTCATGGGGCTGCAGCCTGCCCCTTCTGCAGGGTCAGAGGCTGAATGGTCTGCCCCCAGAGATACCATTGTTCCTCCTTGAGGTCAGCAGAACAAGGCCAGGTTTTCCCTGGCTCCTCCTCTCAGCCTGGGATCCATGTTAGACCATGTGGAGACTGAGACAGGCCAAGCCCCCTCAGGTCAGTTTTGATGTTGTAACTGCGGGCACCCCAGTTGTTAAGGGGAAGAGGGCAAATGAATTCACAGTGAGCAAAGAGGGTGCGTATCAGAGAGGCTGTGGGGAAGGAGGGGGTGTCGTGGGGTGGTTGGCGGCTCCCTGCCTGTTGGATGTACTCACTCTGTAACTATGTTCCAGACCTTCTGTTTAACTGTCTGTCCTCCAGTCCGTTACTCCAGCTTGACGCTGCCTTCAGGTTACATTTATTAATAACTTCATTTCCAAAACAAAATAGAAAACAGCCACTCCTCCTGCTCAGGATGTCCATTCTTTGCTGAACTTGACCTCTTAGTACTTTTCGGGGCTCCTTGAAGACTCCGTTTCTCCACCTGAGTACTCCCAGTCTCCTACATCTGGGCTGACAGAGGACCCTGAACCATGAGTCTTGGCCACATTGGAGGGTCAAAAGGGGACCTAGGTGCTTGGAGAGCTGCCTCTGAGCTGAGTACAGGTCTAAAGACTCATGGAACAGCAGCTGAGAACCACATGGTTTAGTTTGAGGTTGCTGAGTTGCCCTAGGACCTCAGAGAGGTTGAGGAGTGTGCCTAAGGCCCTAAATAGAAACCAGCAATTTCTCCTGCTCCAGAGTTTATGCTCCTTCCACTATGATGTTGTGTAAACCACTGCTACCTCCTTTCCCAGCATGCTTTGTGAGCCAGGTGACATGTGTGGGTTACACGGGATGGGGATGAGCTAATGCTAAGACTGATGAAAACTAATACTCATACTAGCTAGTGGGTCCATTGTGAACACCATGCCTGCTCAGTAGAAACTTCTTTTCAAGCCAAGAGTGTAAGCAGGCCTTTGTGATCTACCTGAAGTAGCATTCACCTTCCCGTCCGCTTAGTCTGGATCACGCCTGCCTGGCCTCAGGTTTGTTTCTCTCAGCTCTGTGATTTATGGTTTACTTGTGCCTGGAGGGCAGAGATCTCATCTGTTTTGCTCACTTCTCAATCTCCAGTGCCCGGCATGCAGTAGATGCTCATTGAATTCTTGTCACTTGTCACAACTTGGCTGTATGCTTCTTCAAATGAGGGATTAGGATGGCACACTCACCATTGCATCCTAGCACCAAAAATCGTAGGCACTCAATACATTTTGAATGAAAGATTGAATAAAAGTGCATAAACGAAGGCGTCCACAGTGAGGCTCAGTGTTAAAATGGAGACTGGCTTTGCAATGAAGAGGTGGCTTCTCACCTTGATATCGGCAGCTGTGTGACTAAGCAATCCTTATCTTACCTGACCCTTGACTTCCCCTGTTCCAGGCCTGACTAGTGGTGCTCTGTGGACATGAGGGTGTTTCAGGTTCCAGAAAGTGGAACTTCACCTACTTAGAAGAACTCATTGGGCTTTCACAGATGCGTAGGGTTAGAGTAAAACATTTTCATTTTTAAGATGTGATTTTGCTTCTTAGACTATCTTTTCTCCTTTTTATAATACATCAATAGAAAAGTTGCTGGCTCTTTTTTTCCCTAGACTGTAAAAAAGTAGCTGTTTCTGATGTATAGACAAAGTGATATGTTTGGGTATAGCTTATTCCTCAGCCTTGCAGAATTTACTTGCAGCCTTTTCTAAGAGCACAGGGTTACTCGCTCCTCCTCCTTGGAAGTGTCAGGGCACCACCTTAGAACACTTGCTCTTACTGCAGGTTTAATGCTTGGAGTCCATTGAAAACAAGAGGGTCAGGGACTTAGCCAATTAAGAACTCATTGAATTCCTGTGCCCAGAGGGCTTCTGTTCACACATCAGCCCCAGAATAGGGATGACATCTTTTCCCCAGCATTAACATACTATCCAGTGTCATCTGGAAACCTCTGGACACAGCAGATCACAGCTGGTGACATCAGAATCTGTTGCACCTCCCTGCTTCCTGCCACAGAGACCTGCCCTGCAATTGAAGGAAAGGAAACAGCAACCATAATAATCATCCTGGTGAGAATAATATAGACCCTTAGAACAATCACATCTTTTATCCCAGGGACGCAACATGCTGTCCTAGCAAATGTTTAGTCCAGCATGTGGGTGGTAGTGAGGGGCCAGTTGGAGTGGATGGGATGCTCTAGTGACAAGATGAAGGAGAAGCCAAGCGGTCCAACCTTTGGAGCCCTCCACGGGCTCTGATTAACACCTTCTTTTCTTTTCCTTTTTGCATTCAGCATGATCTACACTTTAGTGAGCTCCTAAAGACCACACACATCATCAGAGACTGTGAGATGGGAGAGGCCTGAGGCCTTCGAGAAGTCCATTTCTGCTGGTGATCGGAGGAGGAGCATGTGAGAAGGAGAACCACGGGCAGACCAACTGAACAGGAATGGAACCATGCAGCAGTGGTGGGGGGCTGGGCTCTTTGAGTGTGTCTATTGTCACCCTGTGTACTACAATCTTTGGCATTTGAATCCCAACATGGTTGCCCTTCTGAGCATGGGAGGCATGGGGAGAGTACATGACAAAACACTAACCCTCTCCTGAGATAGAACTGCTGCTTCCCAAAATCCACTGCATTGAACAGCGCCTTGGAAATTCACACTGAGCTGCTGGTCCTGAGTGGAGGCCAGAAGTTTGGAAAGTGCCTGCCAAGCTCTGGAATGATCCAAAGTCAAGGTCCTGAAGGCCTCACAGATGTCCAGGTTACCCAAGACTCTTGTTACGTTCCTCCCGAGCCATGGCTATGTCCTTCCCCTAAAATGGGAAGGGCTGAAAGGTGTGCAGGCTTGACCTCTGGGTTTAACCAGCCTTGAACCTGCAGGGTCATCTGTTTTCGTGCTCTGCTTTGTGAAAGCCCAGCATGGTGACATCATAAGCTGGATTTGGGGCAATATATTGGCAATGAGTTATGTCCAAAGACATGGGGGTGACCTGGGGAGAGCGAAACACGGGGAAAGTGGATTTTAAAAAATGTTTGCAACATCTTCAAAGTATTCTTTACCAAGTTGTATTTTTCTGTTGCTACCTGAGACCATCCACATCCTTTAATGCAAATCAGTTGCTCAACTGTAGTCTAAGCCACCTCATAAAGATCTCAAGCAGTTCTGAGCCCAGGAAATCCTGCCGAGTGGCTGCTCTGTAGTGTGGGCATCCGGCAGCCAGGAAGTGAGACAGCATAATTATAACTTCATTTTATGATGCTGCATCATTTGTACTGTTTAGTTCAACATGAGGACATCAGCTTATTTAAATTTCTCATTTGGCATTCTCTCCCTTTGGGTGGGAGTTGTACTGGGGGTTGTAAATAATGACAAGGCTGGGATTTTTATGATGTGTAAATTGGGCACAATGATTTTGACCTTATTCCTCAAACTTCCTTTCTTTTCTATGGGTTGACACACACAGGCTATTTATATATGTACTCATCTCCCATCCGAAACCTGTGACTCAGGTTTCTGAATGGTGTTTGTGTAACACGTTGTGTGCTATGTTTAAAATGCAACAACAACTTGAGTGTCTCACCTAACTGACTCTTTCATTTCAAACCCATTACAGGCTGGATTCTTCTCCATATGGTTGGCAAACTGGTAGGGAGAAAAAGCAAACTTTCAAAAAGGCATTTGCCTCTAAAAATTCCACAGACAACAACATGCAAACCTGCTCTGAGGCTAATGGAGAATTAGAGGGGGGTGTCTTGGGAGAAGGCTTCTCTGTGGCCAACACCCATTTCTTCAGGGTGGGCAAGTCACTGGGGTAGAGCATCACCTCCAGGATGGTTGGCTCTGGCTTTGGCTCCACTTCTGGGATGACTTGTCACCCTCATCTAGACAAACAAGCCCTGATTCCAGGCTACAGACAGCAAATTGAACCCCCAGCCATCTTGCAAATGCAACAGAATGACGAGGGTACACAGTCCCTGTTTCTTTCCACCAAGAAGCTGTGTATATGATAGGAGACACAAGTACGCAAAGACAGCTGAAATGGAAATAGGAAATCATAAAGGAGGAGGAAACAGAGGTATCAGCATCCTAAGACTCTCTAGTTATTGTGACTAAGTATTAGTTTTTAATTGCTAGAGGGCACCTACACTCCCCAAAGAGACAGAAAGAGAGAGAAAGAAATCCCCCCATCCACATAGGGAGTGATCACACCATGGTCCCATCTCCTCCATTTCTCCATCCTGTTGGGATTTTGGGCATGTATGCACATCTTTACATGCCCCGCATGTTTTTAAAGCCAGCGGACACTGGGGCTTGAACCGTGGCTTGGCCGTGTGGGATCCAGCTCCCTTAACCTCTATATTATAGGATAGTTCCAGCATTAAATTTGATATAATTTCTCTTAATAGTAAATAATGTATATAGTGCTTTATATCTTATAGATTGATTTCACATCTTCCCATTTGTCAGGATTGACCTTCTGGACAATCCTGTGAAGTTAATACTGTTCTTTGCCCTATTTCATAAATTAGGAATCTAAGACTCAGAGAGGGTAAGTACCTTGTCTGTAGTCCCAGATGTCTCAGACCTGCATTTGAACCCAGATCATTTGACTTGAAAAGCCCCAAGTCTGTTTCATCACACCTGAAACCTGGCAAAGTAGCTAAGGGTCCCCTTAAGGTCTGATTGATTGTACTGACTTTTTGAGAAAAGGAGATTTAAAAGGTAGAGCTTAAGAGGAAGTGCTTGGGTGGCCTGGTTTTCTTTTCTTTTGTATAGTAACCTCAGCTGTGCTTTATTGTGGAACTTCTCTAAGGTGGTCCTTTAAAAACTGCAAATTCCTTTTAGGCAGCTCTTCTGTTTATGAAAACAAAACATCCAAACAGTTCCCTCACACAAGTTGTGCCTGGGAAATAATTCCAGTCATTCTGTTGGGTATTTCAGTGAATTTTCAATTCCTTGGAGAAGCTCATGATGTAGAAAAAAAATCAGAGTAATTGGCACAGTTGTGTGCAGGCACTGTGTAAATTCACTGTTTACATTGTGATCTCGCCCAGCCCTCACGTGATCTTACAAAGCAGATTAGATACTCTTATTCCTTCACCAAGAGGGAGTTAGGGAGTCACAGGGAAGTTGAGTGAAACAAGGGTGAAACTAGCTTAGAACAAGAGCCCTGTGCTACCAGTAAGTGGTCAAATAATAGCAATAGTTAGAAATGGAGGTGTCAGGTATTGCTCCACAGGCTCCATGTGCCTTTTTCTTTTTTGAGAGATTTTTTTCTTCGCTATAGTGCGCGTGTACTTGCCAGACAGACAGAGAGAGAGAGAGACAGAAAGCGAGAAATCACCCCCCAGGGGGGGATGGTCACGCCGCAATCCCTTCTCCTCCATTCTCCTCTCGGGATCCTGCATGTGCCTTTTTCTGATCCTTATAACAACACCATGAGGTGGATAAGATCTGTTTTAGGGATGAGGACACTCTGAGAAAAGGAGTCATTTGGAGGGATCCACAGCTAGTATGGAATTTGTTCAGCCAAAGCTGGGATTTAGACTCAGATCTGTCTTTTCTTGCTTAATTTTGCTTGTCTGGATAACTCTCATTATTTATTCAAAAATTAAAATGACCAAAGAGAATAAAGGAGGAGGAACTCCTTCCCAGATCTCTTATCATTAAAAAGTGAATATTTCCCCAGAGCAAGGAGAGCACACCTTACCAAGTACAGGTGGAGAAGAGTTTCTTGAGGAGGGTGGTGCTGGTAAATTGGCTCCATTCTCTTAGAGAGGCTATGCTGCAAGCCTAACGTGGCTGTGCTCAGAGGACCAGAACCAAGTTGGGGTGGTCACTTAGCTAAGGTAGGAGAATAATATCAATAATACACTCCACCCTGGCCTGTTACAAAGACTAAATAAATTTGTATCTGCAAATAACTTAGAATAGTGGTAAGTGCTAGGTAACTTTATAGAGGGCAACTCATTGTGAATGACGGTAATCAGAAGGCTTTGGGTGACAGGATTTCGCGCAAAGGTCTCAACCTTTCTGAGACTCAGTTTCTCTACTGTAAAATGGGGAATAAAGCTTGCCTTTGAATATTGTGATAACTGAAGGAAACTATGTACTGAGAGCTTGTAGCAAAGAACCTGTCTCAGGGGAGCTCAACAAATTTGAGTTCACCTGCTCTACTTCATTTCTCCTCCCTCTGCAGAGTTGGAGAATTATGTAGATACAATGGGTAAAGTACTTCTCATAGCAGTGCATGGCAACAGTCAATGAATCTTATCTTCCTCTTCCTTCCTTTCCTACCTCAATCCTGGGGGCGGACCCTGGGGGTGGACTGTCTCAGGCATACCACATGGGTAATAGAACTCAGCTCTCTCAAGAAAATCTCCCTTTGCTTCCTATTTTTAGATTTGGTAATTGCACCAATGTTGAATAAAGTTGTCATCGTTATGAGAGTTTTGTTCTCTTACATAGGAGATGAATGCAGCCAGCAAAATGCTTTGACAACAAAATTAATTGCACTCATGCTGTGTCATTATACAGATCCATTTCATAACCCTTCTTTTCTTCGGCTTGGCCTGCTCTGCTCCAAACTGTGCTCTTTTGGCAGAGCCTTCTCCAGTCCTCAGAGCTCCCAGGCCAAACTGGGCATCTGCTCAGGGCGGGGCTGCTGCTGCTCCCAAGGCTCAGGTTGTCATCACCGTGGGTGTTTGAGGAGTCACTCTAGATCCTGTCCTGAGACTTGGCTCGTTCCAGCAGAGGAGAGAAGGAGCTGAGAGGAGGAATGTTTCTCCAGGACATAAACTAGGCATGTTTAGGGGAAAATGGAGTCAAGGTTTAGCTTTGTCCTAGTTTAGGAGCAGGGAGCTCCTTTTCTCGTGGGGAGCTGCCTGTGAGGGAAAGATAGTGCACAGCTACATTTGTAGCAGACCTCAGTGCCCACACCTGGTATTGGGTTTCAACTGCTGCTCATGCTCCAGAAATAGAAACAGGGTCAAAAGACCCACAACAAGATAGTAGCTTTCAGGCCTTGCTTCCACTCACTCTGTGGTCATTTCTGCGCCATTAAAAAATGTCCAGGTAGCTCTGGATGCCCCAGGAGTATCTTCCTATGATATGACCTTGTTCTCTCAACTGCCACGGGATGCTCACGCCTTCTTCCTTCCCAACTAGTGGTCTCTAAGATCCAGGTGTTCTGTTTTGTGAGAGCCGGTCATTCCTTTTTTTTAGGGATTTTTGCTAAACAGTTGTTAAACCCAGCCATTATCAAAACTGAAGTTATGTAAACTTACAATTAAATAAATTGTATCAAAAACAAAGGTCAGATGTAGTCAGAACTTGCCACTTTCTATTCATTTCACTGTTATCTGTGCTCTTGAGGATATACCTACTGTATTGGGGTGGGAATGCCGTGTAATGGTAGGTTACTGTTCCATCCTCATGTTCTCTGATGACCTGTTAGCTTGAAGTCAGCCATGGTGGGAGTATTTGCACAATGAGTCCTTCCCCCTCGTCAGCCTTAAGGCCACTGCTCTTCTATACGCTTTGTCTCCTCAGAAAGGCCAGTCTCCCCACTGGACCCCAGGTTCCTCAGGGGTCAGACACATACCTTTAAGGAAGCAACAGTCCAAAGAGATGTTTTGTATGCTGGAGTTTGACAGCCAGCAAAGATGCCACTGCAGTGTATTTGTTCAAACATCAGTAAACCCTGTCCTTTTCAGAAATGCTTGACATCAATTTCACCTTTCTGGCAGGAATATATTTTTGATATTCCAGAACAAAGAAAGTAGGGAAAATGAGAGTCCGTTTAAATACCAGTCTCCACATTAAATTATAATGAAGCATATCCATCAGGCCCCCATGCCTGGGACAGTCTGTTTCAATAGCAGCAATGAAAACAGCAGTGCAGTGTTAGAGGCTTTGGGGGAAATTTTATCTGTTGGTGGCATCACAGGCTGGGTCTCCTGATGCCATTCTCTTTCCCGTAGCTAAATTGAAGGCAAGCTTGATGTCAAGTTAACTTGTACACGCTGCAAAGTATCTCACTTCCTCTCAGCAAGACAGAGATGCCCAGCAGATGGGCCAGGTGCCCAGAGGGTGGCTTGGAACACTTCACCCTAGGCAACTGGTTTTTAAAGCCACCAATACTCTGTTCTTCAGTCATATTTCATGATTAGTACCATACCCCTAGATCTGAACCATGTAATGGATACAGTGGAAAAATTAGTCAAAAGAACCCAGCAAGAGCTCTAGCTGTAACCACTTCTACATAAAAATAAGAAAATGAGGCCAGGTCACATTCTTTAGCTAAGACACATGCTACCTATGTCTCCTAGGTTACTGGGAAACCCCAACATCATCTTCAGCCTCACAGTTTGGGGAAGCTCAGTCCAGATGTCCAACACCAGGTGAATGATGGTACTTTCTGGGGAGCTATGTAGTAGTAACCCAAGAGTCCTGGTTCATGGGTCAGCAGCAACCTGGGAGATGGAAGGTTGTCCTAAATGGGTGCCATGGGCTCTTTACTTCATTCTGATTCATTCACCATTTAACATCAGTGACTTTCATATGAAGGCCCTGATCAATTCTGGAATGACACAAAACTGAACATGATTAAATCAGGAAGGAAGAGATTTTTGAAAGAATATCACAAGCTCAGACTCACTAGAGGAAGTATAGGCACATATAGGTCTTACTATTGGATCAAAAAATTCAGTAGCAAAATACAGAAGGAGTGAGAGTTAAAGAGGTGACCGGTAGTGGGTGACGGGCTTTAATGGACTCTAAACATATGTTAACAGTGTGATCTGCCTGCCAATGAGAGTTAGTCTCATTATAAAACGTCCTGAATGAAGTGATAGAAGGGGCCCTGGTGTCCTTGGCCCTCCACAGCTCACCATGAAGACCATTGTTTGGCTTACAGTCATTTGCTTAAAGAGGAAGGTTGAGAAATTTGAGGCCACCTAGAGCAGAACATCTAGAGTCCATTTTAGAGGACTGGGTAGAGAAGCTTCCAGAACATTGTCTTCAAGGAATTGAAGGCTCCAAGAGGGAAGAGGGTGGGGACTGGGTTAAAGCAGCCCTCCTTACTCCTTCCTCTCCGTATGGTGTTGGAACCATTGCTTCCCAATGAAGTTTCTGAAGAAGAAGTAGGCAGAGGAGCTTTCTGTGGTCAAGTATGTGGGGGAGCTTTTGGGCTAGACACACAGAAGTCTTTCCCATTCAATCTC